GCCACAACGCCTGGCCATTTTTTGGTTGCAGCCATCATTGTTGTTTGGCGGGCCCGGGCTGGGGATTCGAACCCGCCACCTTAGGTGTATGTGGCTGCCGCCTTAGCCGCTTGAGCCACAGGCGCCAAGCCTGTGTTGTAATTCTCATTGCTGAAAGTTTGGGGACAGTTGGTAATATTTTGTGACCTGGGCTCGGTGCCCGTAGCACAGTGAGTAGGGTGCCAGCCAGTACACTGAAGTTGGCAGGTTCGAACCCAGTGTAGGCCAGCAAAACAGCAATGACAACTGCATCAAAAAAATAGCCGGGTTGGGGCAGTGCCTATGGCTCAAAGGAGTAAGACGCCGGCCCCATATGCCAGAGATGGTGGGTTCAAACCCAGCCCCAGCCAAAAGCCACAAAAAAAAAAAAAAAAAAAAAAAAAGCCTGGCGTTGTGGTGGGCACCTATAGTCCTAGCTACTCAGGAGGCTGAGGCAAGAGAATTGCTTTAGCTCAAGAGTTTGAGATTGCTGTGAGCTGTGACACCATGACACTCTACTGAGGGCTACATAGTGGGACTGTCTCAAAAAAAAAAAAAAAATTGTGACCTCAAGGACACTCTCTTCTTCAGTCTTCGAAGGGGTTTCAGGCCTTTCATAGGAGAAACAGGTGTCTGCAGATGTGTGTATCTGAGAGGAAATGGGACAGAAGGAGGAAGCCATGGATGGGAAGAATCTTGTGTTCTTCTGCTCCCTTCTGTCTGTGGGCCACTTTCACATGTGATCAGCTCTCTGTGCCATCTTACATCTCCTTTTTACCTCCGAAGATGCTCCATAAAATCTTTGAAGCTTCTTATTCACTTTAAGAAAGTGATGTGTTCTATATGTAATCTTCTACCTTGAAGCCTTTTAAAAACCAGCAAGTTGAGATTGTTTGTATGTCCTAGGCATTACCACCTTGGATCAAAACAAATCGTGGCAGTTTAAAGCAAATATCAAAGGGAAAATGAATCACTTAAATACATATATACAAAAAAATCTAAATGACACAATGAGTGAGAGATCTTGGTTCTTCCTTCACAATCCAGATAGAAGTAGGAGAGGTATTTCTTATGGGCAAAGTAGAAGAATCATTAAAATGTTCACTCTCGGGCAGCACCTGTGGCTCAGTGGGTGGGACGCCAGCCCCATATACAAAGGGTGCCAGGTTCAAACCCGGCCCCAGCCAAACTGCAACAACAACAACAACAAAAAAATGCCGGGCGTTGTGGCATGCGCCTGTAGTCCCAGCTTCTCAGGAGGCTGAGGCTTGAGAATCACCTGAGCCCAAGAGTTGGAGGTTGCTGTGAGCTGTGATGCCATGGCACTCTACCAAGGGCGACAAAGTGAGACTCTATCTCTAAAAAAAAAAAAAACAAAGGTTCACTCTTGGTAACATCACCAGAGACCAGCCAGAGCAATAGCAAGACCTCTCTCTAAAAATACCCAGGTGTTGTGGCGGGGACCTGTAGTCCCAGCAATTTGGGAGGCTGAGGCAAGAGGATCACTTGAGCCTAAGAGTTTGCGGTTGTGAGCTATGATGCCAAGGCACTCTACTGAGGGTGACAAAGTGAGACTCTGTCTCAAAAAAAAGCAGTTTACTCTCTCTCTCTCTTTTTTTTATAGAGACAGTCTTACTTTATCGCCCTCGGTAGAGTGCCATGGCATCACACTGCTCATAGCAACCTCCATCTCCTGGGCTTAGGTGATTCTCTTGTCTCAGCCTCCTAAGTAGCTGGAGGTACAGGCGCCCGCCAGAACACCTGGGCTATTTTTTTCTGTTGTTGCAGTTTGACCAGGGCTGGGTTCCAACCCACCACCCTTGGTATATGGGGCCAGTGCCCTACCCACTAAGCCTAGGCGCCGCCTACTCTCTCCTTTTTTTTTGCAATTTTTGGCTGAGGCTGGGTTTGAACATGCCACCTCTGGCATATGGAACTGGCACCCTACTCCTCTGAGCCACAGGCGCCGCTCTCTCTCCTTATTTTGTCTTGAAGATTCTCCCAAGAATGGAATAACTTTCTGGAGAGGTAGTTTCTGCTTCAAGTACAATGCCTTTATAAATTACCTTTGTGCAAAATGAGCTAATGGCTAAATTTTGCATAAGCTAATAAACGATTTTTTTTTCTGCTATGGCTAACATTAAAAATTAATTGATTTAGGGCAGGCAAAGTGGCTCACGCCTGTAATCCCAGCACTTGGGAGGCTGAGGCAGGTCGATTGCCTGAGCTCATCAGCCTAAGCCAGAGCAAGACCTCATCTCTAAAAATAGAATAGCCGGGCACTGTGGTAGGTGCCTATAGTCCCAGCTACTTGGGAGGCTGAGGCAGGAGAATCACTTGAGCCCAGGATTTGGAGGTTGCTGTGAGCTGTGATGCGACAATACTCTACCCAGGGCGACAGCTTCGCCGAGCCTGCTTATAATTCTTTATCTCTTTATGTTTTCTTTCTACCCACTAGAGACAACTCCTCAAGTTCTCTTCCACCTTAATGATTTTGCTGTGTCAATTTTCCTCATGACTGTTTTCAATACAGGCTTTTTTTTTTTTTTTGAGACAGAGCCTCAAGCTGTCCCCCTGGGTAGAGTGCCGTGGCATTACAGCTCACAGCAACCTCCAACTCCCGGGCTCAAGCGAGTCTCCTGCCTCCACCTCCCAAGTAGCTGGGGCCACAGGCGCCCGCCACAACGCCTGGCTATTTTTTGGTTGCAGCCGTCATTGTTGTTTGGCGGGTCCGGGCTGGGGATTCGAACCCGCCACCTTAGGTGTACGTGGCTGGCGCCTTAGCCGGTTGAGCTATAGGTGCCGAGCCTCAATACAGGCTTTTAATTTGCCAAGTACTTTTCATTTCTTTATTAACGTCCAGGGAAGTTCTAATATTTTATTCCCAATGGGGTCCATACTCTGTAACCAACAACATCATGTCAACGTCTTTGTTGCTGATTCCCTCTTTGGGGGTTATTCTTTGCATCCTTCACTATACTTTAGAGTTTATGAAATTTTATTTGTGGTACATGTTTAATTTCCTGGGATTCTGTCTGTTCCTGATAGTATTACATTTCTAGTTCATTCTTTAGTTGGCAGGAAGTAGACACAGAGGCATGGCCAGTTTCTGATTCTGGCATTTAAACTCCCTTCCCCTTTTCTTCTCTCTCAGTAGAAGACAGATGTGAGAGAAACGAGTTCCAGTGTCAAGATGGGAAATGCATCTCCTATAAGTGGGTTTGTGACGGCAGCCCCGAGTGCCCAGATGGCTCTGATGAGTTCCCGCAGACCTGCAGTGAGTCCCTTTTGGGTGGAAAGCACCTCCTAACCTTTTTATTGTTATTATGTTCATTTTAATCCTAACTGTTTTTGATGATGGTGGCTGGAATGAATTGGGAGGTGAGGAGAGGAGATATTATTGGAACTTTCCTTAAAGCTATTACATAACATTTTTTTTTTTTTTGAGACAAAGTCTCATTTTGTTGCCCTCAGTAAAGTGCCATGGCATCACACAGCTCACAGCAACCTCCAATTCCTGGGCTTAGGTGATTCTTCTGCCTCAGCCTCCCGAGTAGCTGGGACAACAGGCGCCCACCACAACGCCCGGCTATTTTTTTGTTGCAGTTTGGCTGGGGTCAGGTTTGAACCCACCACCCTTGGTATGTGGGGCCGGCACCCTGCTCACTGAGCTATAGGCACCGCCCTAAATAACTTTTTTTTTTTAATTGAGATAAAGCTCACCTAGTATGAAATTAACCAGCTCATTGGCATTAACTCATTCAGAGTGCTATATGGCCACTACTTCTATCTCATCACAAAACCTTTTCATCACCAAATTATCTAATTTTTTTTTTAAATATTGAACGCTTCATGAATTTGCATGTAATCCTTGTGCAGGGACATGCTAATCTTCTCTTGTCATTCCAATGAAATCATTCCAATTTTAGTATATGTGCTGCAGAAGCAAGCGCTAATTATCCAATTTTTAATATTCTCCATTAAATGCCCTTTGTTTTGACCGATAAAGGGTGGCATTGGCTGGGGATGGTGGCATGCACCTGTAATCCCAGCTGAGCATGGTTGCATAGCCACTCATGAAGCCATAGAAGAAAGATCTCCTGAGCCCAGAAGTGACTTTGTCTTAACTCACAGCAACCTCAAACTTGTGCTCAAGCGATTCTCTTGTGTCAGCCTCCCAAGTAGCTGGGACTATAGGCACTTGCCACAACGCCAAGCTATTTTTTAGAGATGGGGGTCTTGCTCTTGCTCAGGCTGGTCTTGAACCTGTGAGCTCAGGCAATCCACCCGCCTCAGCCTTCCAAGTGCTGGGATTATAGACGTGAGCCACCAAGCCCCGCCTAGTTAATTTTTTTTAAGGGTGGGATTGAGACTCTCTTTCTTAAACATTCTGGGGTTTTCACTTTGCAACAACGGGGCTAGTGAGGCTGACTAGTATTGCCATTTGAATGAAGGCTCTGTCCTATTTCTCCTATAGTGTCTGTCACCTGCAAATCAGTGGACTTCAGCTGTGGGGGCCGCGTCAACCGCTGCATCCCTCAGTTCTGGAGATGTGATGGCCAAGTGGACTGTGAAAATGGCTTGGATGAGCAAGGCTGTCGTGAGTATTGCCTGGCAGGCCGCATATCCTGGACTGTATCCCTGTGGCTGGCCCAGCCTGTGCTGATGAGGGTGCTAGGGCCTTTGGGTGGTTGTCAGAGGAGCTTCATGTTGGCAGCATAGCAATGGCTCCATATCTTGTGCTTGGTACAAACACAAAATGATACTCAAGGAAATGATCATTGCAGCGTTTAGAATTTCAGATGTTCGGATTTGAGCTGTTCGACCAGTGAGAATAATGGAAATATTCCAAAATCCCAAATACTTCTGGTGCCAAGCATTTCAGATGACGATTCCCAACCCACAATAATGACAGTGATCCTGTAGGTAGTGCGACCATATTGTGGGACCCAGCTTCAGAGCTTTACACCTAGGAATATGCTAGTCCTCACATCCATGCCAAGAAGGCATGTACAGATGAGCTAACTGAGGCACAGAGAGGGCATGGTTCAAAGTTCAGGCCCTGAAAACTCTCTGGCCTGCCCCTCCAGGGCTCTGCTAACCAGGGTCTGTCCTCTATGGGCACAGTGTAGCAGGGGCTAGTGTCTGTGGGTGGGAGGGGATCCAAAGTGACAAGGTGGTCTCTCTCCATCTGTCCCCACAGCAGCCAAGACATGCTCCCAAGATGAATTCCGCTGCCATGATGGCAAGTGCATCTCCCAGCAGTTTGTGTGTGACTCAGAACGGGATTGCTTGGATGGCTCAGATGAGGCCTCATGCCCCGTGACCACCTGTAGCCCTGCCAACTTCCAGTGTAATGATTCCACCTGCATCCCTGATCTATGGGCTTGTGATGGTGACCCTGACTGCAAGGATGGCTCAGATGAGTGGCCAGACCGCTGTGGGGGCCGAGAAACATTAGCCACCCAAGGGAACAATGGTCCCTGCTCCTCCCACGAGTTCCACTGCCATAGCGGCGAGTGCATCCACTCCAGCTGGCATTGTGACGGTGGTCCTGACTGCAAGGACGAGTCCGATGAGGAGAACTGTGGTATGTGCAGGGTGTGGGCTCCCTTCCGTTCCCAGCCTCCTCCAGGTGTGTAATAGGCAATGACTTTAAATAGTTAAGCACTTTTAGGCTCAGCGCCTATAGCTCAACCGGCTAAGGCGCCAGCCACGTACACCTAAGGTGGCGGGTTCGAATCCCCAGCCCAGACCCGCCAAACAACAATGACG